ACCATGTTCTTGGATTGGAAGAATCAATATTGTGAAAATGACTCTACTCCCCAAAGCAATCTACAGATTCAATGCAATCCCTATCAACTTACCAATGGCATTTTTTAGGGAACTAGAACAAAAAATTCTTAAATTTGTATGGAAACACAAAAGACCCCGAATAGCCAAAGCAGTCATGAGGGAAAAAAACGGAGCTGGAGGAATCAGACTCCCTGACTTCAGACTACACTACAGAACTATAGTAATCAAGACAATATGGTACTGGCACAAAAACAGAAACATAGATCAATGGAACAGGATAGAAAGCCCAGAGATAAACCCACGCACCTATGCTCAACTAATCTATGACAAAGGAGGCAAGGATATACAATGGAGAAAAGGCAGTCTCTTCAATAAGTTGTGCTGGGAAAACTGGACAGCTACATGTAAAAGAATGAAATTAGAACACTCCCTAACACCATACACAAGAATAAACTCAGAATGGATTAGAGACCTAAATGTAAGACCGGACCCTATAAAATTCTTAGAGGAAAACATAGGCAGAACACTCTTTGACATAAATCACAGCAAGATCTTTTTTGATCCACCTCCTAGAGAAATGGAAATAAAAACAGGAATAAACAAATGGGACCTAATGAAACTTCAAAGCTTCTGCACAGCAAAGGAAACCATAATCAAGACGAAAAGATAACCCTCAGAATGGGAGAAAATATTTGCAAATGAAGCAACTGACAAAGGATTAATTTCCAAAATTTACAAGCAGCTCATGCAGCTCAATAAGAAAAAAACAAACAACCCAATCCAAAAATGGGCACAAGACCTAAATAGACATTTCTCCAAAGAAGATATACAGACTGCCAACAAACACATGAAAGAATGCTCAACATCATTAATCATTAGAGAAATGCAAATCAAAACTACAATGAGATATCATCTCACACCAGTCAGAATGGCCATCATCAAAAAATCTACAAACAACAAATTCTGGAGAGGGTGTGGAGAAATGGGAACCCTCTTGCACTGTTGGTGGGTGTAAACTGATACAGCCACTATGGAGGATAGTATGTAGGTTCCTTAAAAAATGAAAAATTGAATTACCATATGATCCAGCAATCCCACTACTGGGCATATACCCAGAGAAAAGTGTAATTCAAAAAGACACATGCACCCTAAGGTTCATTGCAGCACTGTTTACAATAACCAGGTCATGGAAGCAACCTAAATGCCCATCGACAGACGAATGGATAAAGAAGATGTGGTACATATATACAATGGAATATTATTCAGCCATAAAAAAGAACGAAATTGGGTCATTTGTAGAGACGTGGATGGATCTAGAGACTGTCATTCAGAGTGAAGTAAGCCAGAAATAGAAAAACAAATATTGTATATTAACACATATATGTGGAACCTAGAAAAATGGTACAGATGAACCAGTTTGCAGGGCAGAAATAGAGACACAGATGTAGAGAACAAACGTATGGACACCAAGGCGGGAAAGCGATGGGGGGTGGTGGGAGTGATGGTGTGATGAATTGGGCGATTGGGATTGACATATATACACTGATGTGTATAAAATTGATGACTAATAAGAACCTGCTGTATAAAAAAATAAATAAAAAAATTCAAAAAACAAAAAAACCAAAAACTCAGAATAGTTATGAATAAATTTAACCAAGGAGGTGCAAGACATGTACACTAAAAACTACAAAACATTGTTGAAAGAAATTAAAAACTTTAAGAAATGAAAAGATTTTCTGTGCTCATGGATTAGAAGACTTAATATTGTTAATATGGCAATACTTCCCAATTTGTTTTTTACACATTCATTACAATACGTATTTAAATTACAATCTCTTTTTTCACAGAAATGAATAAGCTGACCCTGAAATTCACATATGGAATTGCAAAGGATCCCAAATAGCTAAAACAATCCTGAAAAAGAACAAAGGTGGAGGACTCACACTTCCTGATTTCAAAACTTACTGCAAAGCTACAGAAATCAATAGTATGGTTCTGAAATAAGGGAAGATATATCAATCAGTGGAATAGAATTGAGAGTCCAGAAATAAACCCATACATCTGTGGTCAGTTGATTGTCAGTAATGGTGCCAAGACCATTCAGTGGAGGAAAGAAGAGTCTCTTCACATATGGTGCTGAGACTACTGGATATCCACATGCTAAAGAATGAAGTTGGACTCCAACTTCACACCATGTACACAAATTGAGTCAAACTGGTTTAGATACCTAATTGTAAGAGATAAGACTATGAAACTTTTAAAAGAAAACACTTGAAGAGTTTAGTTGTATAATTACTGCTTTCTTATAGCCCTTTTGTGGTATGTTGTGGTGAACTTCAGTGACTGGATGCTTCTGTGGGTCAAAGTTATCTTTTCATCAACCTGTCTCAAGTGCTTTGCAGAGTTGGTGCTCAATAAAGTTTGCTGATCCAATGAATGGAAGAGACAATGATGGTTTCAGCCATACTGAGGTTTACCCAAAAGATTTTAGATTGTCAGAAACTATTTAGGTGTCCTTGTTGTGTGCTTGAGTGCTGCAAGTGTGAGTTTCTTCCCTGGGCCTTTTCTTTCACCAAAACAGAGTTTAGAGGGCATGTTAAGAAGTTCTCCCCAGCAACAAGTAGTTGTCGTTTGTACATCAGATACCATGTCGCCAGTGTCTTTAAATTTGACTTGTTATTGCTGACAAAATGGATGCATAGCCTGTTTTTTAAAAAGTATATATACTGGGCTTCCCTGGTGGCGCAGTGGTTGAGAGTCCGCCTGCCGATGCAGAGGACGCGGGTTCGTGCCCCGGTCCGGGAAGATCCCACATGCCACGGAGCTGCTGGGCCCGTGAGCCATGGCCACTGAGCCTGCGCGTCCGGAGCCTGTGCTCCGCAACGGGAGAGGCCACAACAGTGAGAGGCCCGCGTACCGCAAAAAAAAAGAAAAAGAAAAAAAGTATATATATTAAGCTAATTTTAAATTTTGGAATGTTTGTTAAAGTATAGATCCAGCCTCAGTTTGAACACCTCTAACGACATGGAGCTTAGTACTTCCCAAGGCAGATATCATTGAACTGCTCTTACTATTGAAAGTTATAAAGTTCTTTCTTATGTTGATCAGGAAATCTTTCCCTTTAAGTTTGTACTTGTTTCTCCAATGGAATCATGCGAAACAAGTCACATATTTGATATAGTAATGCTGTCTCTTTCAGCTCTATATCCATTCCTCTTGACCCAAAGTAAATGTTATTCACCCCAGCATTTTAATATACTGTACAGTTTACTTTTGGGTAACTTGCACCACTAACAGTTTTTGTGAGTTCTGGGAATGCAAATGAATTTCAGTATTATTCTAGGTAAAATACAAACCAAGCTGACTTGTAAGCAACTGCCTTTATAGGGTAATGTTGAAGTTTCTTTCTTGCTCCAAAATATACCTCCCACCAGATGGTACAACTCTCACATTATTTTTATTTTTGGGTTCAGTGTTGAATTTTCTTGGTAAAATGCAAACATGTAATACAGGTTGGCCATCATTTTCTCCTATTAATACCATAGCATAGATTAGTTCGTCAAATTGGAGCCATCTAGCAAGGTGATGTGGCTATGAGACATAGGATGAGAGGGGTTTGAATGGGAGGAATAACACAGAAATGCTGGAATAGGTAGGCTAGGCCTTCACTAGAGATGTAGGGAGAGGAGAAGAACTCTGGGAATGTACCTTATTGCCTCCTTTATAAGTTTTCTCTGAACTAATCTGGCATTAGTAAAATTTTAAATCTTTTGCTCCAAAGAGTAGATATGATTATTCCATTCCAGAGCTAAATAGAATCACTCAAGGAAATAATTTCTGTTTGGGATCCTCTACATGGCTATGTGTCCATCTTGCCTTCTGGCAAATTCTTATTTATCCTTCAAAATACATATGCCGTAGGAAGGCTTTTGCAACCCTGCTCTCACTCCATCCCAGGTAATTAATAACTCTCTCTTTTATGCTATTCTTAGGCATAATTTTTTTGTTGTACCATTTCACTGTATTGTATTGAATTATTTGTCTGCTTCACTGGACTCTGATTCCTTGAAGACCTAGACTGTACCTCATTCTTTTCTGTATTTCCAGTGCCCAGATAGTGCTCATCAGTGACTGGCATATAGTAAGTGTATGTTAAATGCTTATAGAGTAGAGTTGTATCACAGGTAAAATATCTCTTGCAAACATTTGTAAAAGCATTAGTCTCACCAGACATGTATTAGGCAAGAGTTGGAGAGTAGAAAACAAAGGTGAGTAATAAGATAGTCAAGAATCCCTACTTACAGTCTCTGGGGCAGGTGACGGTCATCTGTACATAATTCTTACACAGTAAGATTAATGTTATAATACAGGTACTTTGGTTTTTGGTTTGCATTGTAAAGTCATAATGTAATGCATGCGGAAGACAAAAAAAGAAAAGTCATGTGTTCTTGAAATCTTAATTCCAAAGGATGTAGGCCTCTGGAAGCTCAAATGTAATGGATTAAGGGAGAGACTATATTTAATTTTTACTCCTTGCATAGGAATCTAGTGCATTGCTATGCATTTTATAAGTACTTAAATATTTGTTTCATGGCTGATTTAGATTGCTTGAGGAGAGGTTTGGGCCTAATCAAAGGAAAAAAATATATTGTTTGTAAAGGTGATTTAATACTGTATCCACCCTATTAAGGAAGGTGAGGTGTCCCTACGTCTCTCTAAGCATGAGTGAAATAGCCATTGGTCTTGCGTTACTTAGGCAGGATCTGAGTTTGGAAACAAAGGCCTAAACCAGATGTCCCCTCTGGAGAACTCCCTCTCTCTTTGGACAGGATTTGTTCTTAGAATGTATTTTGTTAATAAATGAATTCATTTTCTATTGTAGCTGCGTGGCTTTGAAAGCACAGAAGAGATTGTCATTCTTTTTCCTTAGCAATCATGGGCTACTTTTGACTACTTGTCTTTTATTTATTCTCTTTTAGGAACCTAAATTCCAAGATGGAAAGGAGTCAGAGCTGCAGTGACACTGGTCAGGACAGAGTGAAGGGCAGACTGAGAGCAGCCCCAACCAGCAAAGCCAAGGTAGACCTCAGACACAGGCTTCCGGGGCTCTCCAGTCCCGTCCTGCGCACGGCCACAGGAGAAACTGTTCCAGATGAGAAGAGGCAGAATGGGTCCTAGGCATACTAATTATGTTGGAGAATTTTATAAAATAGATGTGAAGGAAGAGAGTTTGAATTAGTAGCCAGATGAGTGGAATGAGGGCCACTAGAAGAACCTTCTTAAAAGTTCTGGATGAGTTTTTTTTACCCAGAATTTTCAATTTCATTAATTGTTTCAAGTATGTAGGAATTTCTGCAAATGGTGGGTGCATTCTAGGTTAGGGATTTTCCACATTTCTTAGGCTCATATGACCCTTTATCCCTTTTCTTACACTTTTCCTCTCTATCCCTCTACCATCAAGAAGGAATTACGAAGAAAAAAAATGTATATATATGTATGTATCTGTAATCTTTTAAATCTCTTTCAGGTCACAACCATGACCCCAGCCTCCAACCCTATCATTGGTGTCCTCTTGTCCACCCAAAACAACCGCTGCCTCTCAGCCCCTGACTTAACCATTGAAAAGCGTCTGCCCTTCAGCTCCCTCTCATCCTTGGCTTCCTTGCATAAGCCAGAGCGCTCCATCAGTCCTGAGAGCAACGACAGCATCTCCGAAGAACTAAACCATTTCAAGCCCATTGTCTGCTCACCATGTACTCCTCCCAAGAGACTCCCTGATGGCCGTGTACTGAGTCCCCTCATCATCAAATCAACACCCCGCAACCTAAACAGAAGCCTGCAGAAGCAGACTTCTTATGAGGCCAGTCCACGGATCCTCAAAAAGTGGGAACAGATCTTTCAGGAGCGGCAGATCAAAAAGACCCTTTCGAAAGCCACCCTCACCTCCCTGGCTCCAGAAACAGGGGAAGACTTACTCGTCACTGAAGTTACGCATTCTAGCAAGGAGAAGCCACTTCTGGCTTTAAATACAAGACTGTCCAGTGGGCAAGTACTCTCTGAGTATACAGGACCTACCCTCACTGACCTTGATTACTTCCCCTCTGTTAGCCAGACAAAAGCAGAGCAGGGCAGTGACAGTAAAAGGAGCACTGAGATCCCATTAGAAACCTGCTGTTCTTCAGAACTCAAAGTGGAAGCCAGTGGGACTTCTTTGGAGAGAGAGCAGTTTGAAGGGTCAGGGTCATCCCCAGATGCCAAGTTAGATAAAACCTGTATAACAACAACTATGAAAATCTCAGCAGTTAGTTCAGTGCTACCTAAAAACAGTGTTTTGGGTGGGGTCCTCAAAACAAAGAAACAGCTGAAGACAGTGAATCATTTTGATCTGCCTAATGGTGTTCTGGCAGACAGCCTAGGTGAGGAGCCACTTTCTTCCTTGCGTCGGGGCAGGAAAAGACACTGTAAGACCAAGCACTTGGAACAAAATGGCTCCCTTAAGAAACTGCGACAAAGCAGTGGTGAGGTGGGTCTGGCCCCAGCAGACCCAGTACTGCGAGAGATGGAGCAGAAATTGCAGCAAGAGGAAGAGGACCGGCAGCTCGCTCTACAGTTGCAGCGCATGTTTGACAATGAGAGGCGGACTGTGAGTCGGCGAAAAGGAAGCGTGGATCAGTACCTCTTGCGGTCCAGTAGCATGGCTGGGGCCAAGTAGCACCCGACGAGCAGCGTTACCTGTTTTTCAGAGGTCTTTGGGCTTGATCATTTACCCTGAAGAAATGAGTGTTCTCACTTTGGGTTTCTTTTAATGGCAAAACACTGTCTAGCATGATTCTGAGAGGTCTCGGGCCTTTGTAGTATATATATCCAAGGAAGCTGCATCTCTGCCTCCCTGTGACCCAGGCCAGAAGCGCTCCTCACCCCCTAAGTGACCCACCCCTTAGGGCGTCTGGGCCAAATCTGGCAGCCCCTGCTTGGGGTGAGATTCAGGAGCACAATGGCTGGGGTTAGAAATGGTAGAGGAAAAGGGGACACCTTCTCAAACTGACAGACCTCCTGACTTCTTTCAGCAGGTGTTGTTTTAAATCAGCCGTGCAGATAAAAATTAGTTCCATCTTTTTTCAAAGAAGTGGAACAGTGTAGTTCTTTGGCAGATCCAAAAAGATTATGTTCCCCCTTCTTACCCTTGCCGCAAGTAAATATTCCTAATTAAATCAGTTTTTATGCTTCTACAAAAGTTAATTTACATTCCTTGTTTAAAAAATAACATTTGATTAATGCTATATAGTTGACAGACCACATTCATAGTCATTGTTTAATTTGGTCTTCTCAGGAGACCTAACATGTAAGTGGTATTAGTCCCATTTTTAGATGATGAAACTGCAGTGCAGATGTTCAGGTTCTCTCAACTAAGGGCACAGCCCAGACTGACTGCTGGGTCTCCCAACGACAAATCCCATGGATTTTCCACACTTAAAGAGGTTGCCATAATGGACAGCGATCCAAGGACGTACCAGGGAAGCCTAGAGAAAGCTAGCTGGGCTTTGAATGCTGATTGTGCAAAATCCACATGCAGATAATTGAGATTGACTGGAAGTGTAAACATATACTGTGCAATTATCCCCATCCCTACAGTGTACAGCCTTCTGTTTTCCTGGGGTTCCACTCTGTTAGATAAACTACAATTGGACTTCATTGTTACTCTCCATATGGCCAAGAGTTATCTGCAGTGTTGATCTAAAATCCAGAAAATTTGCCCAGAAGTCAGGGAAGAACAATACTGAAACTCCCGACTGTGGAAACAAGGAATCTAGCTGGATGCAGCTGGTAAATTCAGTCCCATGGACCTTTGGGGTTTATTTTCCTTAGCAGCTGACACCATGTGTCTTTCGCATCTCTGGTGGTGCTTGGTGCTTCTGCCCATCTGGGCTCATTGAGAGTAGGGATTAAGATATGATTTTAGGGAATCTCAGGTGGCCTGGCATTCCCTGTGCATGTATGAGCTGTTACTATAAAGTCATGTGACTGGCATTTTAACAAACCTTTCAGATCTTACATATCCCAATGTATGTTGTTCCCCTCAGGTGGCCTCAGCAGGATGCTGCATAGTTTTTCCAATAATGTTGCCATTGGTGAAAACATCTCTGGAACTGTCCTCAAAGTCTAGAGACATCTAGACATCTAATGTTCGAACTGCAAAGGACGTTAATGGTCATCTATTCCAACTTCCTCCTCTTACTAAGGCAGAAGCTAAGATCCAGAACGACTCACTTATCAAGATCACAAAGGATTTACTATATCACCTACTTTTGCTTCTTCTCAGGAGATTTGCCTCCCTTCTTCTCGGCAAATCTTTAATCTTTGGGGTTATAGGAAAGAGAATTTTAGTTTGAAACTAGTCAGAAGCTATTTGAAGCTTCTGGAAGAGAAGGTAGGTTACCTAGAGGGTTTGGAGTCAGAAATGAGGTGCATCTGTAAAGCAGTCAGAGCCGTTTTCTTGGGCAGCTCATAAACAGTTCCCAAAGAGGAGTTCCAGAGATGTCTTAAGTATTTTGGCAATCACTGAGATATGTGGAACCTCCTCAGTGACTACTTTGGTGAGGAGTGTCACTTACCTGAATGTATGTATTCTGTGTTCTGTGTGTTTGTGCGTGCACACATGCAGATGTTTGTTTAGAAAATATACATCAGTACTTTATATTCATACCACTTCAGTTTTAGGTCCTACCAGCAACATACGCCCTCTAAAGGCTGCTGGAGGGCATATTGGTGCCCAAGGTAGAAGAGCTGGCACTGGTTTGTAGAGACAGGGAGGGTGACTTACTAAATGCCCTCAGAGAAGACATCAGTTACGGCCATTTCATGGAGTTCCTTTTCGATCTTAGTAAATGTTATTGGAAGGCTAGTCTCATTGGTAGTAGCAAAGACACTTATTTTTCCACTTGTCACCTTTTTCTATATCTTCAGTCATTTGAAAAACACTTCAGTTGGAACTGATTTTTGTTTTTGGAAAAAAGATAAATATTTTTAACAGAAAAGATATATTTTAAATATTTCCCCAAAATAATACTTTCATTTTAAGAAATTGCTTAGCAGTAGCAACAAGTGTTTAGCATCAGGTGCAGAGTGAAAATTTCTTGTTAGGCAAATATTCCAAATGCTGGATCCAGCTTACTGACTACCTACTGTGGAACCTCGAATGGTATTGACAGTTGTAGTTTCCAAACTTCCAGCTGAGCAGCAGTCCTTCAAATATAGACAAAGCAGTTTAGGTTAAGGAGGGAGGAGGCTTAATCTTTAATCTGCTTGGCTTTGGAGGAGGGTAAAGCCACTAAGGTATTATCTGTATTTTAAGATGCTTCCCATACTTAACAACTAAAACCTGAACACTTCTTTCTGGAAAATTCCCCTCTCCTGTTGCTTGATTGTGAAGTTGGTCACAAATGGAGTTGTTGACGTGAATTCTTTGGAGAAAAAGACAAAGGAAAACTGATGGGGAGGGTTTGTGAGCTAGAATGAAAGATACACTATCTCAGAAAACAAACATTTCTCACAAATCACTGGAATCTGATTCACCATAGAAATTTCCCATGTCCTTCTAACTGTTCCTTGTGTATATGCTTTCTGTGTTTTTTCTTACTAAAGGGGAAGTTATGAGAGGTTGGAGGGTAGAGGTCATTCTGATGGGTAATCCAAGAAATGGAATGCCCTAAGAAGGGGGCTCTCAGCCCTTTTTTTATCAAGTGGGAAAGATACTTTGGGAACATGTTTGTGATCCGTTGATTGTACCTGCTGAAAGAAGTCATCTGGGCCTGTTGCGTTAATGTCAGATCTGGGGATTATGTATCTAGCCCCTGGCCCCTTTCATGTAATTGCCTCTTTTTAGAAGGCTTCTTGGCTGAAGCTTCCCAGGAAAACCTTTTTTAAGTGGCTTCATTTATTTTTTAAAATTTAATCTTTAAATTTTTGCCTGGAGGAAGCATTGGTGATGAATGCTTTCTGTGTTTTTGGTTCATTTTCTCTTAAAGAAAAATGCCCTTAAGAGATTAAAGCTGCTTAATTAATTGCTATGTTACTACAAACAGACAAACTAAGATGGAAAGCTGCCATTGTGCTTGACTGGTGAAGCTGGTGACCGAAGGCTGTGCCATTTATCCTTTTTGTTCCATTTGACAGATATTTCCTGAGCTTCGAACTTGTGCCAACCCTGTGCAAAGTCATGGATATAAAGATGGAAAGGACAGTCTTGCTCTTGATGAGCTCAGTGTCTACTGGAATGTATTTGAATGCATGTGTGGCTGGAGAGCTCGTTAATGGTTTCATGAAAGACCATAGTGATGATCTTGGATGGCCCATTCAAGGTACTGTCCAGCACCCTTGAACATTTTACATGCCCCCATCAGTATTTGTGAATTTGATTGCAATACTGCTCTCTGTTTCTTAAGTAATTTTACCAGTGGAGAATGATTTTTCTCCTCTGGTGATTATAGGACAATAGCATCTCTTAGCATAAAGCCCCAAGAAATGAGGAAGGTTGTGGATCACTGACGTGGTCAGAGGAGGTTCACTCTCAACTTAGTAACCTACTAACCTCTTCCCCAACCAGACCCCTCACCAGAGCTGGCAGCAACTTGGGATTCCTTTCCTTTTTCCTGCGTGGCTTTCCATTGAGATAGAAGGCGAGCAGGTGAGGAAGGGAAGAAAAATGAAGGCTGGATCATAATCATAAAATGTTATGTAGCTGGAATAGGCATGGAAATTATCCAAGTCAAACTATACCCCCTGATGCCCTTCTTTTTTTTAAGAAATGAGGAACTTGAGGTTCAGTGCCCTGTGTCATATTTGTACTGTAGTTGTCTAGGGTCTGAATGAATAGTCCTCTAAGTTACACACACACAATCTGCTAATGAGGGGGACACCCGAATGATTGTTTTAAGTTTTTTCTTCCTGCTTTTTTTCAGTTCGAATTAAAATGTACCCAGATCCCCTGAATACACACCCAGGCAGGGAAAACCCCCATAGTAAGAGTAATGTGAATGTGAAATCTTGGGAAGTGATATATTTTGATTGGAATAGCTGTTATTTTAACTACCAAGGATTAGAACCCAACCAACCCTTCACTTTTCTTTGAAAATCAAGAACTCCTTAGGGACTTAATTTTTCTCAGCCCGCCTTTTCCTTATCAACCCAGACTGGTCTTTTGACTTGGCTTTTAGAAGTGAGTATAGCTGTTTATAAATTCTTGTGACTCAATGAGAAAGCAGGCCTGCTTTTTTTTTTTTTTTTTGAGGGGTGTGGGTGGGATTCTAGGAAAAGAGGATGCTGAATAGACTTTGCTCTAAAGATGATCCAGAAATGCATCTTTACACGTTATCCACAGTGACTCTATACAGAAGTCACCAGTTTAGAAATTGGTTAAATTGGATGAAGGAAAAGTGCCAAGACTGAATGTGCACATTGTTCTATGTATTATCAGTATTTTTTTTCTAAGAAAAATATTTACACATTTTGCTTTGTGAGAAAATGCTTCCTTAATGCCTTGTCTCAGTAATTGTGGGAGGCAACCTCAAACTGGGGGCAGGCTCCCTTTCTACCTTTTCTGGTGTCTTAAGTCAAGAACTAGTTGGACAAAGCCAGGGTAAGGCCAGGCTTGTTCTTCTTCCTTTCCTCTCATTTAATAAGTGGTAGAAACAGGGAATGTACTCCTCAAAGATC